GGTTTTATGACAGGTACTATCAAAGGTGCAAACAGTTGATGTCTTTGGCGTGGCTACCCAGGCATGACACTGCATGGTACCTGGCATTTATCTCTGGCGTAGTGATGGTTTACTTAATCCCTCACCTCCCTCATTTGCCCTGCTTTCGATGAAGTCCAGTTTGCCTGTCTCCCACTTACCATGGGATAAACGAAAAAGATGAAAAACACCAGCTGAGCCTGCCTACAGCATCTGCCAGGTAGCCCTGCCCCTGAAATAAGAGTGGTGATCCTCACCTGTGAAAAGCGATTCATACCGAGGACAGGAATGGAGGAACAACGCACAGCTGGAAGATAATACTTAAATAGTGGTTCTGGCTGAAAAGTGAGGATGTACAAATGATGCTGTGTGTCTAGCAGAGCCTTTCCTTGTGTGCCAGCCCTCATAATCGGGGACTAAAGTAACAGAACAAGGTTTTTCCCTCTTGTACAGCTAAAACCAGTGGAGAGTGGCGGTGGAGTCTGCACCTTCTTGGTATAGCGAGTCATTTTACTGAAATGTGTGAAGCCATCTAAGCAGTTTGCCCATCAGAGCAGCAAGGCTGTGTAACAACGAAGTAACAGCAGCAGGAAAACTCACCCGGTGTTGGAAAGGCAGAGTATGACCTGGGGCTTCCTCCAGCAGTGAGGCTAGACCCAGTGACTCAGGAAGCCTCCTCAAGCTGCACATCCCTGTCCTGGGATCACGGAGGCACCCTCTGAGAAGATAATCCAGATCCAGTGAGTCCTCCAGCAGATAAGTCCCAGTTCTCCTGTCCCAGGAGTTTTCAAGACTGGTTATTTGAGAAGCCTTCTCCTGTCAATGTTCCTCTCCATCTCCAGTCATTCTGCAACAGCACTTTAAATTCAGTCTTTGCCTTAAACCAACTCAGCTTTCCAACAATAGATGAGGGAAAGGTAGAGACCACTACAGAACTGGAAAACTTTGGTTCCTTAGTTGAATTCCTTGGTTGGTTTATGGCTCTCAGAGAGACAATGGGTTTATTGCAGTGAGCCACATTCAATTTAGCTGTTACACTTTGAAGTCAGGAACAAAATTCCCAGTCATTTTTTGGGGACCAGGTTTGGGCTAGATGTTTTGATGTTGTTCAGAAAGGCACAAAACCAATTACCAAACAAGAAGGTGAGCTGACACCTGGCTTTATTGGGGGGTTATTCCTTTGGGAGGCTTAGAGTAAGAGAGACAAATGGTTTGTGCCACTTGCCGCCTTCTCCCAGCAAAGCAGGGACCTGAGCTGAAGCAGTAGCTGTGGTGCACCGAATAAAACCTCTTGTGGATCCCCCTCGTGAAGGCTGGGAGGTCCGATTTGCGGTGTGGCAGAGGTTCCCACAGCCCTAGGACTGTGTAGCTGCATTTTGGTCCGGATCAGCATTCGCCTCCCTGCCCCGCGTGGCTGGCTGAGCCATCCCGTCTGCTCTCCAGTGGGATTGCAATGCTGGAACAGCACCAGGGAACGTTATCAGGGATCAGGATCAGATCCATTTTATTTCCGTATACGTTTTGTACCTTTCCTATGAATATTGCTCAGATGTAAGGACCAGATATGTTCACACTCCATATACTTTTGATGGTCTTACTCCAGCAGGGTACAGATGGTTGGTAGAAATCCTTTTAGACTGAGTTAGGACCTTACACTTTCGGTCCATATTTTTAAATGTGTGATTGAAGCAACACAGATTTTTTTTTTTCCTTCCTAAAATAGTACCCAAAAAGCCACTTTATCTGAAACTGCATTTTATGGTGAGATTCATTTACACATCACATCACTACACAGTGTGAGTGAGGCAACTAGGATCTGGGCCCTAGTCATTTGGAATCAGAGTTTACAGTGTCTCTGATCTCACTACAAAATACTCGGTTAAAAATAGCCCAGTTGACATGGTAAGACCTATAAAGGCTCTGATCTAGCAAAGCACTCACATGTCTGCTGAACTGTGAGGTTCTGATTAGTCCTATTTAAGACCATAAATTTTCCACTAACTTCAAAGAAAGTCCCACACCAAAGTTCTTCCCTGTACCAGGGTCAAAACTGTTAATGGTAAAAATAGAACGTAGCGGATTTCAAATTTGTGAAGAATTTAAAGCCTTTTAACTTCTGCCATGTTAAAGAATTTATGTGAATGAATTCCTTAAGTTATTATAGAGCAATTCAATTAATAGTGGATCTGCTTTTCATTAGGATGAGTAATCAAGGATGAACATCTTCTATATCAAAGCTTATCTTTTAAAAGAATGAATTAGCTATAACTCACTTAACTACTTTCATAACATGAAATGAACACGTATTGTTCTATTAGTTAATTTTGGATCACTAAATTAAAGACAGTTCAAAAGGGATATAATGTCATAAGGATCTCTCCGTTCAGTTTGTTGTGATTTATTTCAGAAGATACAATAAATACCGTTTCTTGTGGGGCTAAATACTGTTAGGGTTATCAAATGGTTTGATTTAGTATATTTTATACATCAGTATGAGTTATATCCCACAAGGGAAAGAATATTTTTGTCTGGTATTTGCAGATGCAGTTTTGTACTCCTGCATATCTTGTAGGCTATAGGGATGCTTGATTAAGACTACCAAAAGCTTCGCGATAAAACAATAAATGCAATAAATAAACAATAAAACCACATCTGGAATGTAACCTTTTATCCATGAAAAAATGGATGTTTATGTACTAGTAAATTAATCCAGGGCATAGGCCTGTCATCATCTCTCTCGTTGAATTAGCAAGCAAACTTCCTGACATGGTTTTGGCCAGCTAGCACCCTCCACACAATGCCTGGACATATCTGGAGTTAGGATGGGCCATGATTAATTCCTAAAGGCAGCTGTGATTTGGCCATCCTGTCCGTGGGGATAAAAGGGAGTTTAGCCATGCTGATGCAGCATGCCACACGAGTTGTCCTCAAGACCAGAGAATAGCCTTGACCTGTTGTATGTAGTAGTATAGGTGTAGTTCTTCTGTAGGAGGTATAGAAAATAAAATAGGGTCTATAAACATAGAATTAGATTTTACCTACTGTTTAATGTAGTCCTTGTTTATTCAGGCACTTGAGGCTTTTTACAGCATATAGCACAGCCTCCTAAATTTAATTTAAAGTGCAAAAGTACAGTGGGTAACTATGCAAATGTCATGAGTGACTGCAGAGCAAACTTTGTAGTGTTTTCAGTGGATGTCTCTAAGACTTCTGTGTTCTCAGAGAAGAAACAGCAGCGGCAGAAAAGTACTTTATCCTTCTTAAGGACCTTCAGTCCAGGTTGGGTCACACCTAGTGTCAAAAAGCGTCAGCCTCTTGAAGAAAGAGGTGCTTTACTAAGTTAGCAGAGGTAGCATGTTTAAAGTAAAAATTAAATGGCAGAGTATTGCTGGGAAGAGTGCTGGGACACTTCCATGGAAACTCAGAGAGATGCTTGGGCAGTTGCATGACACACGGAAGGAGAGACCAGAGACTGTCGCATTGTTATTTCAAGGGCCGGGTTCTGTCTCTCCAGCTGATGCTGAGACTGTTCGCTCTCTCTGTCAACCTGGAAATCATTGAGATTTTCCTCAAAGCCTCTGACTCTGAGTTAGAGATAGTTGTGTTGAACTGGGACGCCAGGACAAGACTGCAAGCAAGGTCAAGACGAGAGGGACCACGCTGGGAATGTAGTTCTGTATGGATGTTGTCTTCCTTGCAGGAGACAAGCTCACTGCCTTTCCTTGTCGTGCCTGAGTATCTGCAGTGAGAGGTTGGCCGTGGATGGATGGAAAGAAAGATTGCATATGGATGATTATGTGCAGAAAATGAGCTTCATTTCCTACCCGCTTGCACCTTGCGTTATCTGTTTTGTATCAAAACAAAGGCAATGGATTAAGCCATGTGATTCAGCTACAGCGCGTCAGCTTTTTACAAGCAACTTTCCGTCACCAAACCTCCTCCTGTGCTTCCAGACCACACCTGGGCACTAAATACATCAATTTAAAGAAAAGCAGCTTAACATACTCTGATATGCTTGTCCTGTGCTACTCTGACCTTTGCCAGCACCCAAGCTTCCAGGTTCAAACGCAAAGTGGCTGGAGGCAAAGTTTTTCCAAAGATGAGATCTCTTCCCCGTTAGCGGTCGCTGCCCTTAGGTAGTCCTCTCGCTTTTGCTGAGCTGCCAGGGCTGCCCATTCCCTTGGGATTTTGCTTGTAGGTGTCAGAAGCTGCAACACTTCATTGAAACGTGCCTGCCACTGAGACCCCCATGGCAGCATTACAGCAAGATGCGTTTTGATCTTTGAAACCATTTGATCCATTTCGTAAATATGCAGTAAGAAAGCAGGTCTGGCAGATTTTCTCATTCTGGGTACCTCTGGCAAGGCAGCATGGACTAAGTGACTAATGGCAGTGGATTTGTCATCTGTTGCAGTGTTGAGCAGCCTTGCTCATCTAGGGTGGGGAGCTGCAGTCTTGAGAGGGATTTTCGTTCCTTGACTAGCTTTCATCCGCAAGACAAATTTGGATTCCAATACGTCTGTCCCATATAAAGTACATTTTTGATTGTGCCGTTCCTCAGTTAAACAACTCATGGCGGGGAAGGGTCAATTTTAATTCATTGATGGGTAGGATTTCTCCTAATCCCTGCATTTTGAAAAATAAGATATAAAGATAGTTGTTAGCTAATGCTTTAAGAATTGCAGCTTAGTGCTAAGGAATAATAACTTGTAAGAACTAGATTGTCTCAGGCGCACATTAAATCACATTATCTGCTAGTAAATTAATCTTACTCTTTTTTTTTTTGTTCCCTTGCAGGTCCGAAGGATACAATCTTACACTGTCCTGGGCCTAAGCAGTAAAGGATAAATTTGATCACTGGCTGACTTGTCATCCCTTCGTTGTGATGGAAAAATGGTTGCCTAAAATAAACCCTTTGTTATGCTGCTATAACTGCCTTTGAATCCAAGATCTGTTGTGATTTTTAAAACACAAACCTAAAAATGTCAGAACCCGACCCTTCATCTGGATTTGTAGGAAACATGGAAAATGGGACTTTTCTGGAGCTGTATCCCACATCCCTTTCAACTTCAGTGGATTCATCGCCTGGCCGTTTATCCAACGTCTATGTCTATGTTTCTATATTCCTTAGTCTCTTAGCTTTTCTCCTTTTGCTATTGATCATTGCACTTCAGAGGCTGAAAAACATAATTTCTTCCAGTTCCTCCTATCCAGAATACAATAGTGATGCTGGAAGTTCTTTCACTAATTTAGAGGTTTGTAGTATTTCTTCCCAGCGCTCTGCTCTCTCAAACCTTTCTTCATGAAACTAAATGAAAGGAAACGCACGGGGAATGGAAGAGCTTTGTCTGGTTTCTTGGGGAGGTAGTGCATGCAACATTTGCCTTAGAAGACATGTTATGAAGAGGTGGCTTTTAAAGTTTCCTTAGATTTTTTTTTTCTTTCCTTTTCTAGTCTTCATTTCCCCTTTTACTAGTGTTCTTTTTCATTGTGGACAATGGATAATGACACTTGATCATCATTTCATGCTGTAATAGTGATCCTGTCTTTTTCTCACACGTATACGGTGTTCGTTAAGAGTATTCCTGCCAAATTGTAATACGGTTCTAACTGGATGTGTCATTTTTCCGCTCTAGTTGTGACCCCCTCCCTGGTTTTGTGTCAGTAATACGCTGACTACTTTTCTTTTTCCTTTTTTAATTAGATAACGATTTCTGGACTTAATGAAAGCCCTATTGCAAAAGTATCAAAAATCAGCCTAAATTATAAGTATTGGGACAATTTAAAGTTGTTGGTATTGTTTCTTTTTTAATTTTCGTGTCTTTTTCAGTATTTATTGATGTTTATAAAACATGACTAAAATCCATTTCTTGAAGAATGTTGCTTTTGTTTATTCGTACTCCCATGACTAAAATCCATTTCTTGAAGAATGTTGCTTTTGTTTATTTGTACTCCCAGCTCTTTCTGTATAAAGTCTGTATTTCAGTTTTTGAGTCTCTTTGGTTAACCTAGTAAAGCGCCTACAATAACGATGCTCACTGCTGAATGTGTGGAAGTATTTTTGGACCCTGTTGCATCTCATTTGCCTAATGACTTCTTCCTTCAGAGGGCAGCTCTTGCTGCTGAATCACGGATGTCACACAACTCCTTCACATCCTTCAGTGATCCTGTAGCTTATTCATAATGAATACCAGTACAAACCAGTGGTTTCTTTTAGGAGATCTGCATGCAATGACCATAGGTGGCACCTGAATAGCTCCTGTAACTGTCCGTTAGGCACAAGATGTTTGTACTCACATGGACAGGGCCAGCAGGGACAGAAATTACTCGTACTGATGAGGACTTTCTGGAACAGATTTTGTCCTTTAATTTCACAAATGCACACTGGGGTGGAGGAGGGACAGGAGGATCTGTGTAACGGCCGGGCAGACCTGTTCTCTGACACTTGGGCAGTACAAAGCATAGCTGCAGAGGGTAGGAAGAGATAGGGAAGAAGATGACAGTGGCTCTGCCCCTTTGCCCGTCAGAATAAGCAGAGGTCAGAGATGCAGGGCTGAGAAATGGATGACCTTTCACAATATCTCATCTTGCAGTGCCATAGTCTGGGTTATGATTTCCCTCTGCTCAAAATGTAACTTGGTACTCAGTTTCTGCAATAAAATAATTGGCAGCATCATGAACAGGAACCTGCGGTCAGCTGGGAATTAGGGAATTGGGCTGGCCTCAGCAGGAGCGCAGGGCGATGGGTTAGGGAGCTGCAGAAGACCTCCTGACCAGATTTGTTACAGATACCCTCCTGCCGAGCCGTCAACGGGTTCATCAACAGGACACATTGTGCTACTAACTACGCAGACTTTAAAAGAGAAATGTGGAAAGCCCGGTGTAAATACGATCATTAGAAACATGGCTGTTCAGTGCCAAACACCCCATGGATGATGCTGGAGTCGGTGTTTTCAATTTTTAAAAGTGAACCTACAGTACGGTGAGTGGTAATGACTTACGATGTTGATTAGCTCCTTACAAAGGTCAAAGAACTTGCTGACTAATAAAGAACTTAAGCCTGCAGGTTCTCTGAGCCAAACTGGTTTTATAAATAAATTTAGTCTCTGGAATATTTTATTCATCTAGACAAAAATTTCTTGTAAGTCACTTTTCACTGTAATTGATGATAGGCCTTGGGAAAAGAGTTAACTATTTAAAAGGGATCAGGAAACATGATTTCCTTTCTGAAAGTTCTTCCAAATCCCAAACCCGTAATAGAACATATTTGTGTGTTGACTGATAAATAAAAATAAATGAACAATAAATAAGATCAAGCAACCGCTCAACTATCTTCTCTTACCTGCAAAGCTGTAAATTTGTTGCTTCCTTTGCTGCAAATGCAGGAATTTGATCAAAACCAGAGATGAGACCGCAGTCTGATATGGGTATTTATTCCCAGCAATATGTTTCCCATTACTAGTTTATGCTTGCAGATACAGAGACACCTAATATTAAATACAGACTGTTGAAAACCCATTGGCTTTGTTCAATGAGCTGTTATGAAGCTTCACAAGGGCAAGAAGTATTTTTCAGACTGCACAAAGTAGCAAAGGTAACTGAAACCACACACTTTATTTTGATTTGTAGTTTTCCATATGCTATTAATTTTTGTTCCACTCTGCAGTGACATATGGGACTATATACAGTCATCATGATTTCAGCTGAGTTGCACCTGTTCTCGTCAGGACAGATTTGAGTAGAAATAAGTTGGACCCAACAGAATAGCATCAGGAGAAGCCACAGGCAAAAAGCACCAGGGTGTTTTTGAGATTACTGAGTTCTTCAAGAAAAAAAAAAGAAAATAGAGAAAAGACTTTAACTTGACAACCTGAGCTTGCGTTAACTTGAGCTAGAGTTGCAGAGTTTTTCCACCATGGTAAAATGAAAACCAGATTAGATTCTTCATTTTCATCAAATTTCTGTTTTTTCTACCTCTCCCTCTCTCTGTCTCCCCTTCTTTCTGTCACTCACAAACCAAACAGACCCAGACAGGCTGGAGAAGTGGGCAGAAACAAATCTCATTACATTCAGCAAAGGAAGATACGAAGTCTTATACCCAGAGAGGAAAACCCCAGGCACTAGGACAAGCTGGGGGCTGATCAGCTGGAAAACAGCTCTGCAGAAAAGGACCTGTGGGTCCTGATGGACAACAAGTTGACCATGAGCCATTAGCACACTTTTGCTGCAAAGGAGACGAAGAACATCCTGAGCTGCACTAGGAGAAGCACTGCCAGTAGATCAAGGGAGGTGATCCTTCTCCCTGCTCAGCACTGGTGGGACGCCTGGATTGCTGTATCCAGTTCTAGGCTCCCTAGTACAAGAGAGATGAGGAGCTACTGGAGTGAGTCCAGTGCAGAGCTACTAAGACGATTAAGGGACTGGAGCATCTCTTGTATGAGGAGAGGCTGAGAGAGCTGGGACTGTTTAGTCTAGAGAAGGTTCATCGATGTATATAAATACCTCATGGGCGGGTGGAAGAAGAGGGAGCCAGGCTCTTCTCAGTGGTGCCCACTGACACGACAAGAAGCAATGGGCACAAATTGAAACACATGAAATTCCATCTGAACACAGGAAAATGGTTTACTGTGAGGGTGGTCAAACACAGGCACAAGTTGCCCAGAGAGGCTGTGGAGTCTCCCATGTGTTGACCTGGGCAACCTGCCTGTAGCTGACCCTGCTTTGAGCAGGAGGGCTGGATCCTCAGAGATCCCCCATCCATGCCGTGATTCTGTGTCTCATGTCAGTGCAAAAACTCAGCGGCTTCTTGCTCGCTGCCTCCTCTGATGTGTTTTCTCAGCTCTGGAGCTGAGTAAGCAACCTCTTTACTGGGGAGTGATTTGTTCAATAACTTATTACTAAAGAGCTGCTCCATTCTTCCTCCTGCCTGCAGCCACATGCTTTTCCAGCTTTTCCACTGCCTTTTCGTCAACTGGGTTCACATTTCACAGTCAGCTTTTGCCCTGGGCCCCTTCTTCTTTTTCACCAAGTCCTTTGACTGAAACAGTACCATTAGCTTTGGTGATAAATGACTCCAGGACTGCATGGCTTTGGGTAGTTGCAAAGTATACCTGGAAACCTGTACAATGAAAAATATCAAAAAAGCATGGATAAGGAAAAAGCAAGAGGAGTTTCTGGATCACACAGAAAAAAATATTAAAAATATTTTGCTTTAGTTCAACAAATATGGTCCATTTAAGTGTATTTAATCAAAGAGTACCTGGTGAAGGCTGTAGCAGTCTCTATGTTTAAGACTGTTGCACTGCTGGCCACTCTGGCTCTACTGTCAGGTTAACCCATCATATTCATCAGTCCTCAACATTACCAAATTATTCCCATCCTGAAACAGTGCCACACTCTTCACTTAGCAACTCTTCAAGTCTGAGGAGAGTTTATTCCACCAAATGAAATTTATGCTTCCAGCCCTTCTCTGTCCGCCAGCTCACCTGAAAGTTTGTCTTTGTAAGGTTAAAGTCTTGTCTGGTTTTCCTACAGATATCTTTTAACTTAGAAACGATTCTTACTCTTCTCCCACGCAGCTCATTTGCCCTCCTCTTTAACTGTCTAACCCTGTGCTACTCTGGCAAGGCTGAATCCCCGTGGAGCATCATACTCTGCTGTATTTGGGCTTTTTCCCTTCAGAGGTTTTTTTTTTTTTCACTGAGACCACTGGGAAAGACATCTGCGTGGGAAGGTTATTTACAAAGTCCATATACCTCCCATTCTTCTCGACGGGACCGTTTTCACTGCATCTGTTACGGTTGTCTAAGGAAACATTGTGAATTACAGCCCAGCTGCTTCCCCAGCTGAATGGCCTTTTCACGTCCGCCGCCCCTCGTACGCTCCCAAAGACAACGGCCCCGCTCTGTGGCTACAGCAGAGGATTACAGGTCCTAAATTCAGGGTGCAAAAGTAGCCCGAAGAACTCCTTTTTTTTTTTTTTTCCTCCAAGAAAAGAAAGCTCTTGCCTATGTCTTTGGCATAACACAGAGCAGCCCTCCAGCTGCTTTACATTAAATGAATTTTGTGATACCAGCCAGTCCGACGTGCAAACGGGACCCACCTGCGATCACAGCCCCCTTCTCACACCATATCCCCATCAAACGCCTGGCTCTGTGAGACCACCCACGAGTCGGGTGGCCCAAACTGACCAAGATGCTGTCCCAGTCCCAAGGTGCTTAGCCAGGGACACTTTGCTGATGCCAGATAAAGACATTTTCACGGCTCCTCCCAGTGCTGGAGGCAAAAGCAGCATCAGCCTCCTATG